CCAATGCTGTTGCTGCTCTGCTGCTGGTTCCGCAGTTGCTGCTGCTGATGATGTTGTTGATGTTGGTGCCGCTGCTACGTACTGTTACTGCCGCTACGGTTGTTGCTGCTGCTGCTGCTGCTGCTGCTGTTGCTGCTGCTGCTGCTGCTAATGCTGCTAATGCTACTACTGCTGCTGCTGCTGCTGCTACTGCTGCTGCTGCTGCTGCTGATGGTGGTGGTGATGATGATGATGATGATGATGATGATGATGATGATGATGATGGTGATGATTGCGACGACGACAACGATGACGACGATGGTAGCATGTGCGAACAACACCTTTGCGTGAACAAATATTATTAGTATCACCAGTGTGATTAGTTCGCTTTCACAGCGTGCGACATCATATCGGCGGCATCATGAGAGCGACGTGAGGCTTCTATTCTCCGCATCCGCGTCACACGAGGCCGCGCTCACTGTGCGTCTGACAATAGCAGGAACCAAACAACAAAGCGTAGAGGAAGACACACGCAGCCGAAACACATTTATAATGAAGCCACCATTACATAAACGCGAGCTTTTTACTTCCCACGCAATTGTGCTCGTGCCCGCGCCTCCTCTCATCCTCTCTCTCTCTCGAAGACTCGGTCTGTCTCGTCTCTCTCTCGTATCTCTCTTCTCCTTCTCGATCTCGGTCCTCTCTCGTCGCGTATCTCTGATCTCCGCTCTCTCACGCACAATTTCTCTCCGTGGGTGTGTGTGTGTGTGTGAGTGTGAGCGTGCGTGCGTGCGTGCGTGCGTGACGTAATGTGTGTGTGTGTGTGTGGTGTGTGTGTGTGTGTGTGTGTGTGTGTGTGTGTGTGTGTGTGTGTGTGTGTGTATACGTGCGTGCGTGTGTAGATGTTTTCCTTCTTGTATAGATGGTATAATTAGGCGGCTACTGCGTGTGTTAGGCTCGGCGCGTTTCCCTCTGATCGCGCCAATGGTGCGTAGTCCCTCCGCCCCGTCAATAATATATTCGGCACTATTTTATTCATAAATATGAGGAGAATAAATTATATGCGTGTCGCGAATTTATTTATACCTTCATATCGTCAGTATACCGATGACTCGTGTGCACATTACGTGTGAGATTTTTCTGCTTTATTTGGTCGTTAGCGCGCGTGATTCAGTGCGTGCTTAATTGTGGGTACGTATGTATGAGAGTATATGTACGTGTATGCGTGCGTGTACGTGCGTGTGTGCGTGTGTACGTTCCTGTGTTTACGTATGCGCGCACGTGTGTGTATGCGTGCGTTTACGTGCGTGAGTGCGTGTAAGAGCGCGCGCGCGTGTGTGTAAATGTGTGCATGCGTGCGTGTACGTGCGTGAGTGCGTGTAAGAGCGCGCGTGTGTGTGTGTGTAAATGTGTGCATGCGTGTGTGCGTGTGTGTGTGTTCGCGCGCTCGTGTGTGTGCTTTCCAAGCGATGACGCGTGCGCTGGACCGTGCATCCTTACATGTGTGTGCAGCCAACTCCCGTGGATGCGTGTGGCATTCTCGCACCGAACGGCGATATTAATTCGTTTTAATTATGCATCGCACAAATTGCGCGATTGCACGCATGTTAGATGAGCGTGCTCAACTCTCCGTGAGATATTACGAGCACATGCGGGAGTTCATTACTGGAGAAATTGCGTGTCAGATGTTCTACTGCTCCTTGTGTGTCGGCAGCGTATATACGCTGCTGGCGGTGCATGCATACTCGATACGGGAATCCATGCTGAATTCGGCAAATTGTCAATTATACGTTATAGACCACATGGGGACAATGCAGACGTTAAGATGAACCTTTACCTATCCGCATTAACCTTCGCAGCGGCACCCTGCTTATGCGACTTAACTGTGAACCTTGGAACTAGAGTGTACATATATTATACACGTACGTGAAATCTGGATTATATACACTGTACGCGGTATCTGGAGTAAACGTTGTGCAGGGACACTATAGTGGGCACTGCACATGAACTATACAGTATATACCGTGCATGGGGACCAGGGAGGATGGACTGAACACGGGAAGCAGAATGGATTTACCGTGCAGGAGAACTAGAGGGAATATACTGTACTTGGGAGTTATCGAGCATATACTGTGCATAAGGACTAGAGAGTATATATTGCACATGGGAACTGCAGTGTATAATGTAAATGGAAACTAGGGTAAATACCGCAGCATTACGAAAATTGGTCACAGTAAAATTAGTCACACGGAAAACTTGTCACGCGGCAAATTTATTACGAAAAGAGGAGGGTTCGCTAGTGCAAATATGAAATCACACTGAGTACAAAATGATTGATGAGGTGAAATTGATTGACATTGTATTATTCTAGAAATCAATGATTTTAAATCCACCAAATTTTAAATCCGCCGGGAACGTATGTGCTTGGTCTAAATGTGAAGTAGAATGCAGAGACACACAGAGCACTCCGAACTTGGAAACTAGAATTGACACAAATAATAAACATGAACTAAGCCATACGCAGTAAAAGTAAGGTTCATACACAGGACTAAGTGTATAGGGTATACAGAATGCACGCGAACTGCGTTAAACGCTGTAAAAACCTGAAGCACGTGTATACCGTGCTTGGCAACTAGAGAGTCATGTAAAGCAAACACGTTAACTACACTATGCGCAGTCAAACAAATATGTTACACGTCGTAATCGTGAGCCAATCCTCTATATAGCATTCATTATCCGTGCTTAATCAAAGATCGATCGCATAATCAGTTACGCTGCTGTGTTTCGAGTACGATACAGCACATGTTTCGTTCCTCTAGGCGCGTCAGATTCTCCCAGCATTCAACGCGGTGAGTATTGTTGTCGGCGAGTGTAGCTATAGAATCTGATACGTTTGGTCCATTGTCTGCCGGCGCTGATTTATTCATGTGCCATCCCACCGTCAGACGTACCGGCGTCATTGTGTGCATGTAAGCATAGCGAGAGGCTGTCGCGTGCCGTATAACGCAATTGAACCTTATCTTAAGCACAACGCATACACCCGAGCAAAACGCGCAATGTTTCTTGTTTCGGGAATCCGCACACAGCCACGAACATCGAGCGAAACATGATTTGCTCCACGTTCAGGTGTTTTGCTCGGGCGTTGGGCTTTAAGCATAACAAAAAACATTGCTCAGCTGAGCGTGTTTCGCTGAACAAGCAATGTTTGATTCGCGGAGTGTGTTTTCGCCTGAGCGTACGTTTTGCTCGGGTGTGTGCGTCAATCGTTCTGCTACACAGCGAAACGCCACAGACGGTCTCCAATCAATATCCTTAAAAATACCACATGACACACAAAATTGGATGTCCATTGGATGACTATTTTGGATGTCATGTGACAGCGGCGCTGTACGCAGTGTTTCTGTATGTTTTTCTCAACTGTGTGCTGTGTCGGGTGGCGTGTGTGCGCTTGCTCGCCGAGCAGAACGCGAAACGCTGGGAAACAAAATTTCGTGTTTCGCTCGGGTGTGTGCGTTGTGCTTTAGGCGGCAGAATGTTCCTCTACATCTAACCTGCGATCCAGCCGAAGTGAAAATGTCGCGAGTTCATATAGTCGCAGCCCGTATACATAAAATATCATTGAAATCAGCGTGATAGCGATATGGACTCATTCCGCTAAACTGTATTCGCGAATCTGAAAAGCAATGGAATCTAGTGATATTGTATGCCGAAATGTGATAACGTTGATCCGTAGGTTCCATTGAATTTCCACTCGCGGACACGCGTTCTCCTTGTCACGTGATTCATCACGTGATTACGTCCGCCCTGCGCTGGCGACACTATGGAGAAGGTTTCTTCGCACGGCTGCATGCAGACTTCATTGGACACGTATTAATTGCGCTGAGTGCCGCGGCGTCGTATCTGCGTGGGTGTGTTGCGTCGTCGTCTGTGTTGCGTCGTGGAGAAACGCTTCTGCGAGGCAGTTGTGTCGACGAATGTAAGCTATCGAACCGCTTAGAGGGCGGTGGTGAAGCCTGTTGCTTAGCACCAGCATAATTCGCGCGCGCGAAATTCGACGTGACGTCGACGCGCCGGCTTCCCGCGCAGCGACACAAACGCACATACGCTAAGCAGTACATTTTTACGGAGAATATTACTGCGATATGAATCTCGCACACGTGAGGCCTACGGTGAAAGAGCTTCTCGAGTGAAAGCGCTACGCGCCACGACCCCTTTATGTCACATATTCTACTGGCTCTCTCATTTAACATCTACTATTCGTGCCCGTATTTCACATCCTCTATTCGTCTCCTAATTTCACATCTTCTTTTTATCCCCGCTTGTCCCATCCTCTATTCCTCGCCTTATTTCAGATCTCCTATTCTCCCCTTATTTCACATCCTCTATTCCTCGCCGTATTTCAGATCTCCTATTCTTCCCTTATTTCACATCCTCTATTCCTCGCCGTATTTCGCATCCGCTAGTCGTCCCCATATTTCACATCCGCTAGTCGTCTCCTTATTTCGCATCCTCTATTCGAGCTTTTCGGTCGTTAAAGGACTCCGCAGCACGTGTACAAATTTGCTCAATTCCGCGAATTGACGGCTCATGGAAAACAAAGCAATCGTCGTGAAGAAGCGGACGGCACGTGCAAACACTTGCAGCGCATCGATCCGATCTTGGGATGAGGTCGTAATAGCGTCGTGTTTAGCTCCTCATCGAGCAAAATGTCGCGCACCCGCCTAGCGATTTCTTTCCGCAATAATAACACATATATATAGCAAATGTCCCGTGTGTCGTTGTGCGGATACGGCACCATATTCGTCGTCGCTAGCGTTCGCGTTGAGGTGTTCTCGAAGATGGGAGATATGCAAAATTTATTGAGCTTATAACAAAGTATCTGGCATTGCGGCTTGGGATATGCTCGGTGTGAGGGAACGTAGGTGAGATGTTTGAAATTAACAAGTTATCTGAGATTGCGTGTCGACGAAGGATCAAGGAGAGCAGTTGGTTTATATGCGGTGCACCGTTACGTGTTTCAGATGAACCGTCCAATCCAAGTGAAGCCAGCTGACAGCGAGAATCGGGCAGAAGACCGTAAACTGTTCGTAGGCATGCTCAGTAAGCAGCAGACAGAAGACGACGTGCGTCAACTTTTCGCGCCTTTCGGTGCCATCGAGGAGTGTACTATACTGCGTGGTCCCGACGGAGCAAGCAAAGGTAAACTTTATGTACCGCACCACGCCGTTCGGACGACTACTAAATTAACTATATCAAAGCTAACCTTCATGTTGTACTGCGCGGTTCAGATGGGAATAGCGAAGGCAATATTGATGCTATACACTAGAGTCGACACAACGATGACAGAGGCAACT